AACCACTACATTAAGATGCAGTGGTTTTGCTGCTTCGGGTGTCCCTTTAAGTGTGTAACCTATGTGTTACTGTGCAGCATAAGCTGTCTCTTGTATGCAATTGCATGATTCAATGCACAGCACCAATTCTCCCATTCTGTGAGTGCCATGTGTGCTGAGGAAGGATGCTGAGTGTTTCTTTCATACAGTTGCCTTTTATTTCTCTGTATGTCGCTTTGGGCTAGTAAAAGTTATAGCTGGCTTACTTGTTCCCAACAATAAGAGAAGAACATATTCTAGATTTTCTTAATTAAAAGCTTCCACTGGTAGCAAAACTTATTGTGTGTTTCTGTTTTGATACTGTGATGGGATTCCAGCATGGTCAAAATTTAGTAGGCCAAAATCTCCATGTGGCATATGTGTATGTTGTGTCAGTTGGTTAGCTACATGTAGCTAGGATACTGTCATCAGTGTACTGAGCATGTGCAGGAATGCAGGAACTGAAATTGCACTTATTTCCTTTGTCTTGGATGAGCCATGTGGTTTGACTAGATGTACAAGTCTATGTTCTGCTCATTGATTGGTTAAAGGTATATGTGGGTGTAGCTATTAATGGGAGGAGTTATAGTGCTATATAGGGAATGTACACTATGTGTTGGTCTCTCAGAATGTTGGAACAGGAGTTCATCTGAGACCCGATCGGTAATGTGAATAAAGGCCTGTTACTTCCTGAAGACCTGTGTCCAATATTTCTGTGTTTGGCTTCTGCATGCTTACACTGCAACAATACTTTATTGCAGTTCCATACATTACAGAGTACAGAATATTTGATAGAGTTCTAACCTCAACATATGAGGAAAGGGATTTAGGGGTGATTATTTCTGATGACTTAAAGGTAGGCAGACAATGTAATAGAGCAGCAGGAAATGCTAGCAGAATGCTTGGTTGTATAGGGAGAGGTATTAGCAGTAGAAAGAGGGAAGTGCTCACACTGGTGAGACCTCACTTGGAGTATTGTACACAGTATTGGAGACCGTATCTTCAGAAGGATATTGATACCTTAGAGAGGGTTCAGAGAAGGGCTACTAAACTGGTTCATGGATTGCGTGATAAAACTTACCAGGAAAGGTTAAAGGATCTTAACATGTATAGCTTGGAGGAAAGACGAGACAGGGGGGATATGATAGAAACATTTAAAATATATAAAGGGAATCAACACAGTAAAGGAGGAGACTATATTTAAAAGAAGAAAAACTACCACAACAAGAGGACATAGTCTTAAATTAGAGGGACAAAGGTTTAAAAATAATATCAGGAAGTATTACTTTACAGAGAGGGTAGTGGATGCATGGAATAGCCTTCCAGCTGAAGTGGTAGAGGTTAACACAGTAAAGGAGTTTAAGCATGCGTGGGATAGGCATAAGGCTATCCTAACCATAAGATAAGGCTAGGGACTAATGAAAGTTTTTAGAAAATTGGGCAGACTAGATGGGCCGAATGGTTCTTATCTGCCGTCACATTCTATGTTTCTATGTTTCTATGTTTCTATGTTTATGATTTATGAAATAATAAAATTCCATTTCCGTAATTCACTGCTAATATGTTTCCCCCACTCTAACCCCAGCCCTAAAAACAAGGATTAACAACAGGGTGAGCACACACGTCACACTAATTATAGGCGCGTCCTAATGTATAATTACATGTAATTAGTTGTCCTCAAAAGGTGACAGATTAATTGCATGTCCTCGTTAATGTAGGGTAAACGGAGTGACTGCACTAAATGGAACGCAAGAGCTAGGATATTGTAATAAGATGTTACAGGGTAATAAGGCACTCAGGAGCCAGGTTACTGTAATAAGATGTTACAGGGTAATAAGGCACTCAGGAGCCGGGTTACTGTAATAAGATGTTACAGGGTAATAAGGCACTCAGGAGCCGGGTTACTGTAATAAGATGTTACAGGGTAATAAGGCACTCAGGAGCCAGGTTACTGTAATAAGATGTTACAGGGTAATAAGGTGCTCAGGAGCCGGGTTACTGTAATAAGATGTTACAGGGTAATAAGGCACTCAGGAGCCAGGTTACTGTAATAAGATGTTACAGGGTAATAAGGCACTCAGGAGCCGGGTTACTGTAATAAGATGTTACAGGGTAATAAGGCACTCAGGAGCCGGGTTACTGTAATAAGATGTTACAGCGTAATAAGGCACTCAGGAGCCGGGTTAGTGTAATAAGACATTACGGGGTAATAAGGCACTCAGGAGCCGGGTTACTGTAATAAGATGTTACAGGGTAATAAGGCGCTCAGGAGCCGGGTTACTGTAATAAGATGTTACGGGGTAATAAGGCACTCAGGAGCTGGGGTACTGTAATAAGATGTTACAGGGTAATAAGGCACTCAGGAGCCGGGTTACTGTAATAAGATGTTACAGGGTAATAAGGCACTCAGGAGCCGGGTTACTGTAATAAGATGTTAAGGGATAATAAGGCACTCAGGAGCTGGGTTACTGTAATAAGATGTTACAGGGTAATAAGGCACTCAGGAGCCGGGTTACTGTAATAAGATGTTACAGGGTAATAAGGCACTCAGGAGCCGGGTTACTGTAATAAGATGTTACAGGGTAATAAAGCATTCAGGAGCCGGGTTACTGTAATAAGATGAAACAGTGTAATAAGGCACTCAGGAGGCGGGTTACTGTAATAAGATGAAACAGGGTAATAAGGCACTCAGGAGCCGGGTTACTGTAATAAGATGTTACAGGGTAATAAGGCACTCAGGAGCCGGGTTACTGTAATAAGATGTTACAGGGTAATAATGCGCTCAGGAGCCGGGTTACTGTAATAAGATGTTACAGGGTAATAAGGCACTCAGGAGCCGGGTTACTGTAATAAGATGTTACAGGGTAATAAGGCACTCAGGAGCCGGGTTACTGTAATAAGATGTTACAGGGTAATAAGGCACTCAGGAGCCAGGTTACTGTAATAAGATGTTACAGGGTAATAAGGCACTCAGGAGCCAGGTTACTGTAATAAGATGTTACAGGGGTAATAAGGCACTCAGGAGCCGGGTTATGTAATAAGATGTTACAGGGTAATAAGGCACTCAGGAGCTGTGTTACTGTAATAAGATGTTACAAGGTAAGAAGGCACTCAGGAGCCGGGTTACTGTAATAAGATGTTACAGGGTAATAAGGCACTCAGGAGCCGGGTTACTGTAATAAGATGTTACAGGGTAATAAGGCACTCAGGAGCCGGGTTACTGTAATAAGACGTTACAGGGGGTAATAAGGCACTCAGGAGCCGGGTTACTGTAACAAGATGTTACAGGGTAATAAGGCGCTCAGGAGCCGGGTTACTGTAATAAGATGTTACAGCGTAATAAGGCACTCAGGAGCCGGGTTACTGTAATAAAATGAACAGTATTGTCTTTAGACCTCCTCGCCCCTTAGAATGCCTCCAATAAATATTTAATAATTAATAAATGAATTATGTCTTGATGTGCTGCTTCAGCTGAAAGCGGTTTTTCCACTGACCAGATCTCCATCCTGTCCCTTTAATTTTCTCCACACAAACTCGTTAACCGTGGAGCTTACAGTCTAATTGACACCCTCACAATTTCCACATGCCGTTTGAATGGGTGGGGTGAATATGGTAACATTGAACATAGCAATCCTGTTAATAACTAATAATGTCTATTGAAGTTAGGGTGGATATAGGACAGGGGTCTCTGTTTATTAAGTCAATGAGTGGAAGAGGACGGTAAGTATGTGTACCGTCACTAATTAAAGGGAGACTGTTGGGTGAATTTCTAACCCTGTTTATTAATAGTGTTTTAAAATAACCTGCATTTAACGAATACTAAAGAAACATGTATAAAATATTCTTGTCACTTAATGTGCCTTATTTACATATTTTTTTCAAGGAACCTTATCCACTTCTGGGGCTATCACAGCCATACTTTGTCCCATAATCACATGAATGGGAGGATTAGTGGGCAAACATGAGTGAGTGGTTTACTTGCTCACTAAATATACACATACATATTTAAATTAATGAATAAAATAATGCTCTTAAAGCACACGGACGCTCTGCCACTGTAGGCCCTTAACTGGACCATTACTACCATGGTGTGCATCATATCTGATATGTGGGTATTTCAATCTTTTTGCTTCCTTACATTTCTACAGACAGTACCAAAAAGAGAAATTATGATAGGTGCCCTTATTCTCTACAAAATTAACAGAATTTAGGAATTATACCAGCTGTATAAGAAGAAATAAGTACCCAAGAAACTAGGTCGTGTCCTGGTTTCACAGCTGAGATAATATCTGTCGATTTGTTTGAGCCTCGGGCCCTGATTTTAAAGTTGTGCAACCCAGCAGGAGAGAGAGGCGTTCACCCTGGTATAACATTACTAGCCGAGAAGGCCAGGATAGATATAGGTTATCAGATCAGACACGTTAACGCTCTAGGACCACTCTGTGGGCCTGAGCAAGTGAGCACAATACCATCTTCACATCCATTATGCATGGTAGGGTAGACATCAAAGTGACTTGGGTCCCATCCATCCCATCTCCTCTGACACAAAGGACCACTGGTCCTTTGTGTCAAAAGAGATGGGATAGATGGGTAGGTGCCCTTATAGGTGCCCTTATTCTCTACAAAATTAACAGAATTTAGGAATTTGTCAGGCACCTGGTCGCAGGGGTCTGCAGGGCGGCCGGGCCCCCTGGAGTGTTGGGCCCAGTCGCAGCTGCGACACCTGCGACCGCAGTATGTACACCAGTGGTATAGAATTAATACATATTACAAATATGAATATTTCTGATTTCAAAGCAGTGTAAGTATCAGATCAGATTGATTTAAACAATGGGGGTAGTACATGTGCGCAACAATGGTTATGGTACCAGCAGTGCCGTGACACCCTCCCAGGGTGAATAATCAAACCATTTGCAAATAGTTTGATAATTTACCTGGGGTCCACCAGACACAGGTCACAGCCTTCAGGAAAACCAGAGGCTCCTGCACAGAGCTTCCGTTAGCTCCCCCGAACTAAGCTCTACAGTGCAGTGTTGGCTCATTGTCTGGTGCCTCGTTTGATCCTTTAATAGCAGTCACAGAATCCAAAATAGCTACACAAAAGTATATATCTGTAGAAAGAGCTGCCTCTAATGCTGCAGATTCATGCTGTAGCTGCCGATCGCACAATGTATAGTACTGGGCATCATGCAAATCCCTCACTGGTCACTGTTGGCAGGAAGGAATGCAGGGAGACCTGATTGTGGTCTTTTCAAACCCCATAGGTCTCCCTCTCTCTGAGAATCACCATGATTCTCTGTGATTTAATCTCTGCACACAGCTCCTTGGTCGGTCTAGGGACACTAAAAATGGCCCCAGCTGAAAGAGGAGAGATCCAGGTTTCGATCTATACCTGGATCTCCCTAGTGTGAGCAGGAATTTAACCTTGCTACCATTAAAACAAACAGTGATTTTAATCTATATTTAATTATGACTGCTGAAACTGCTCAATAGGGAAAAGTTGGCCATCATGGCAAACAACAGAAACGTCTTGAGGATTAAAAATATCTCATAACTCGGCTCCCAAGGGTTACTTTACACCTGTGGTGAAAAAGACTAAAGGGCTTGTGGAACGGTTGAGAACTCGCCACCAGCCAAGAGGTTATATTTGGACTCAAAGAGATTCTGTTAGCCAGCCCACACGCTCTTACCAGATTCCAGCATTTACATTCTGTTGCACAGCATTCTGTTGTTGAAAGCTCCCCATGTCACAGAGTGCTGTGAGTAATGTTTGTATTTGCATATATTTGCATATTGTGGTAATGCAGGAAGAATATTTTGATTTTTATTGTTCACGTTCCCCTGACTCACCCATACTTGTGATAGTTATATTAGTTTATTGTGTTGTTGTCTCTATGTTTTACCATACAATTATGTTTTACGTATTGTTTTGAGTATGTCACCATAACGTAAATGTACTGTTTTGAACACTTGTCCCAATTTTAATTAAAGCTTTTTTCGGGAGTTCCTCATGGAGCTATGGAAAGGAGCATGCAGAGGGGTTAATACCTAACCAGGAGAAGAAGGGGCAGAAAGAACAGTACCTACCTGCCCAGGTGTAGGATTGCTTCAGTGGTCCTTTGTGTCAAAGGAGATGGGATGGATCAGTCCCAAGTCACTTTGATGTCTACCCTACCACGCATAATGGATGTGAAGATGGTATTGTGCTCACTTGCTCAGGCCCACAGAGTGGTCCTAGAGCATTAACATGTGTCTGATCTGATAACCTATATCTATCCTGGCCTTCTCGGCTAGTAATGTTATACCAGGGTGAACGCGTCTCTCTCCTGCTGGGTTGCTCAACTTTAAAATCAGGGCCCGAGGCTCAAACAAATCGACAGATATTATCTCAGCTGTGAAACCAGGACACGACCTCGTTTCTTGGGTACTTATTTCTTCTTATACGGGGCCGCATGTTAAGATGCCTATCGGGTGGCCCATGCTGTCAGGGCCACCTGATGGAGATGGATTGTCAGGGGGCCCGGTCAGCGCTGGGCGCTTTAACAGCGCGACTGGGCCCCCTGTGATGAGATCATCACTGCTGGGAGGAAGTGATTACACGTCACTCCTCCCAGCTAACACTGAGAGCCCGTGCAGGAGGAAGAACAGGGAGTCAGAGTGGGAACCACTGGACCCCAGGGAAAGTCACTCTCCTGCACCTAAAAGGTAGGAAACAGGAGGGTGACTTAAATATTATGTGTGTGTATGTTTGTTTGTATGTACGTATGTGTCTGTGTCTATCTGTCTGTATGTATGTATGTGTGCCTTTCTGTTTGTATTTTATGTGTCTTTGTATGTATGTCATGTGTGTGTGTGTGTCTGTTTGTCTATCTGTATGTGTCTTTGTATGTATGTGTGCCTGTCTGTTTTTATGTATGTATATGTCTTTGTATGTATGTGTGTCATGTGTGTGTGTGTCTGTATGTGTGTATGTGTGTATCTGTCTGTCTGCATGTATGTGTGCCTGCCTGTCTGTTTGTATGTATGTGTGTCTTGTCTGTATGTATCTTTTTATGTATGTTTGTTGTGTGTGTGTGTGTCTGCCTGTCTGTGTCTGTATGTATGTGAGCCTCTGTTTTTATCCATGTGTATTTGTATGTATGTGTGTCTTGTATGTGTGTATGTGTCTGTCTGTATGTGTGTGTCTGTATGTGTCTGTCTGTATGTATGCCTGTCTGTTTGTTTTTATGTATGTATGTGTGTCTTATCTGTATGTATGTGTGCCTGTCTGTATGTATGTTGTGTGTTTATGTATGTGTCTGTCTGTGTTTGTGTGTGTCTATGTATGCATGTGAGTGTGTCTCTGTATGTATGTGTGTGTGTGTCTGTTGGTGGTAGTTAGAGGGGGGGATAGGGAGGGGGCCCATGGATCAGTTTTGCACCGGGGCCCCATGGGTTATGTGTATGCCACTGTTCTATACATTATTTTAACGGCTACAGCCTTTTGGCCAGTGATCATGGCTAAGAAAGGAAAATCCTCTTTTATATGTCTGATTTTTTATTCTAGTACCAATAATTCAACTTTTCCATGCAATAGAAATGTGATGGTTTTATGTTCCTTTGTCTCTGACTAAGTAGTAGCTCTCGTGTGGAGAATGAGATTGGAAACCCCCAGTTAGAGGTGGAGGGGCACATGATGTTTTAATCTGTGTACATCATGTGTCTTGGCAGAATCTACAAACGCTATTATAGACCATAAAGAGGGACCATAGCACAAGAATTATAAGGCGACCCGTGCATGACTCCTCATCAAACATGAGTCGAGTTTAAAAGACGGGCATCAAATAAACTGACTCATTAATGATGTTGTAATTTAAGAAGGATGTGCAATGTACCCTACGTTAGGTTTGGAGGGACTTCAAGCTTGGAGGAAACCAACTTCAACATGCAATGAACTTTAATGCCTATCCCTTCCAGCTAAGCTTTACCTAGTTGAGCTGATGAGAGTTACAATTCACAACATCTTAAAAGCAGGGTCTCCCTAACACCCCCAAACAATTAAAGGGACTCTATAGGCACCAAAAAAAACTTTAGCTTAAAGGTATCCTATAGTGCCTGGAAAACAAACCCGTTTTCCTGGCACTATAGGCTCCTGGAGTGTCCCCTCCCGCGGGCCACTTACCTGAATCCAGCTCCAGAGTCAGGCTCCGCCTATGCTCCTCCCCCGCTGACGTCAGCCAGCGGGGGAGACCTAAGGCGCAAACGCGGCAATGGCGGTGCACGCATTAGACCTCCCCATAGGAAAGCATTATTCAATGCTTTGCTATGGGGAAAATCTGATGCTGGAGGTCCGTGAGGAAGTGCAGCGACAGATAACGGACCAAAAGTCCGTTTGGATTCTGGAAGCCCTATAGTGGCTGTCTGTTAGACAGCTACAGAGGGCAGACTTAGAGCTGCAATGTAAAAATTGCAGTTCTCTGCAAAAGTGTCACAGCACCCAGACTACTTCAATTGGGTGATGTGGTCTGGGTGCCTACAGTGTCCCTTTAATGAAGCCATTTTTGTGTATTGATCATACCTATGATGTTTTACTGCTCAATTCACTGACATTAAAGAGGGTAAATCACTTTTGTTTATGTTAATGCAGCCCTAGCCACACCTCTGCTGACAAAGCCTGGATGAAAATAAAATGGTTTCATTTTCAATCAGATGTTAGCTTGTTTTAAAATTAATATAATAATAATAATTTGCCATTTTTATAGCGCTTTTCTCCCTTTGAGACTCAAAGCACTTTACAAGTATACAAACATAAAGACATAAAAGTTAGGAGTTTTTGAAGGTCAGCTGAGCGGACTGAATGCCTGAGGGAAGAGGTGGGTCTTTAGCTTTTTTTAAAAAGTCTGTAAGGACGGTGCTTCTCTGAATGCGCATGGTAAAGAGTTCCAGAAGGTAGGGGCAGCATGGCTGAATGCCCTGGAACCTAAGTCTGTCTTTATTCTTGGCACTGACAGGAGGGTTTTGCTGGCTGACCGAAGTGAACGGGATGGAATGTAGGGTGTCAGGAGCTCTTTCAGGTACTGTGGGCCTTGATTGTTTAAGGCTTTAAAGGTCAGCAGGCCAATTATAAAATATGTTCGCCATTTAATTGGAAGCCAATGTAGGGAGTGGAGAACAGGTGTTATGTGGCAGGAGTGAGTTTGATTGGTCAGTAGTCTGGCTGTGGCTACTGCATTTTGAACAGTCTGAAGGCGATGGAGTTCTTTTTCTGGGAGGCCCAAGTAAAGTACATTGCAGTAATCTAGTCGAGAGGATACAAATGCATGGATTAATGTTGGCATATCAATTAAGTGTTGTATCCTGGCTATGTTTTTCAGATGAAAGTAGGCAGATTTTATTACGAAGGAAATCTGCTGTTTAAATGATAGTCCAGAGTCAATTAGCACTCTGAGGTTTCGTACCTTTGATGAAATGATGAGTTGGGTGATCATGGGATATTTTTGTTGCCCAGGGTCCCCTCACCAAAAGTAACTCTGTTTTGTTCTGGTTCACTTTAAGCCAACTAGCATTCATCCATTCTATGAGGGCTGCTAAACAGCTGTTGATGTGGCATGTTGGGTCTGTGGTATCTGGAGCAGAGGAGAAGTTGTGTATCATCAGTGTAACAATGATACCTTAGGCCATGTCGCCTAATGATGTCCCCCAGTGGTAGCAAGTAAATTGCGAATAGTATGGGAGACAAGATGGATCCTTGTGGAACTCCGCAGGCCAGTTCTTTTGGTGCTGATGAGTTTTATCCTGGTGTTACTCTCTGTGATCTACCAGTGAGGAAAGATTTAAACCAGTTAAAGACTGTGCCACATAGACCACAGATATGCTGCAAGCGCTCTATTAAAATCCTGTGGTCAATGGTGTCAAAATGTAGCTGAGAGATCCAAGAGGATTAGGATGGAGTAATCACCATTGTCTCTTGCCATAAGGAGATCATTTAGCACTCGGACTAGCTCTGTTTCAGTGCTGTGGCGGCATCTGAAACCTGACTGGAAACGATCAAAGATGTTCAAGCTTGACAGAAATGTAAGGTTTTAGAAGTTTTTATCTCCTGCTCTGCAAATTGAACTTTAATCACATACAGGAGGCTCCTTCAAGGTCCAGCAGGCTATTAACATAGCAGGGGATAAGAAAATCGAAATTAAACAGAACTTGCAATAAAGGAAGTGTAAACATTAGATGACTTTTTACAGAATGTTTTTAGGGAGGCTGTGCAAGTCACATGCAAGGAGGTGTGACTAGGGCAGCATAAACAAAGTGATTTTATTTCTAAATGACAGAAGTAAGCAGGGGCATGATCTATAAACCAAAACTTCTTCATTAAGCTAAAGTTGTTTTGGTGACCATAGTGTCCCTTTTTTAGTGTCTCTCTAACTCTCTCATTAACTCTATTCTATTGAAACTCTAACAATTATCCTACTCATTACTAGGAACTTGCATGGATAAGGGCATACATAAATACATGTAAAGCGCTACGGAATTTGTCGGCGCTATATAATAATATTAATAATATATAAAAGACAGCTCACCTGATCAAGGACAGATGCACCATCTCTAAGCGTATCTTTTAAAGAAAGGACCAGGTACTCAAAAAGGGATGAGCCAAACAGCAGCAACAGGGGCGGACTGAGAACCCTCAGGGCCCCCGGGCAAAATAAATCAAGGGCCCCCTTACAGGCCCCACCCATACTCTGCAGCAAGCGCCACCCTTGTCCCGCCTCCATGCACGCCTCCAGCCACACCCTACACAATCTTTAGACACAAGGAACAAAAGGGCAATAAGCCCTTCGAGGCCCCAGTAGAGACTACAATTGAGGGCTAATGGGCCATGGAGGGGGGTCTTTCTAGCGGAGGCTATCTCAGTGTCCTTTAGAGAGTGTGTTAGATAGAATCCCCTCCAAGCCCCATTAGAGACTACAATGGAGTCTAAAAGGCTTGGAAGGGGGTCTTTCTAACAGAGGCCATCTCAGCGTCCATTAGATATCCCCTGCTGGAAACAGTCGCCTCCAGGCCCCAGTAGAAACTACAATTGAGGGCTAATGGGCCATGGAGAGGATTTCTAGCAGAGGCTAGAGTCTAATGGGGCCTGGAGGGTGGTCTCTCCAACACTCTGGTTCCTATTCACAATATAGCAACACAACATAGCTCGCTGATACCTAAGCCAAGTTGGTTCCTCTTACCTTAATTACTGTTGCTGGCTGGCAGTCTGTGGGCTTGCTGGCTGCGGCTGGCAGGCTGTGGGCTTTCTGGCTACTGCCGGCAGGCTGTGGGCTTGCTGACTGCGGCTGGCAGGCTGTGGCTTGCTGGCTGTAAGCCTGTGGCTTGCTGTAGGCCTGTGGGATGGCTACTGGCCTGTGGGCTGGCTAACTGGCTGGCTACTGGCCAGCCTGTGGGTTGGCTGGCTGGCTACTGGGGCACTTGTAGATTATTTAAAGAAATAATCCATGCTCAATAACCACTACTGCTCCAGAGTAAGTAGTCAAACCGTTTAAGAACAGTTTGACAACTTACCTGGGGTCTGCTGGGATATGAGGCTGTAGTAGGGAATAGGAGCAGTGGTGCAATGTGTGTGAAAGGTTCAGTGTGTGTGTGGGGGTGTGGTGTGTGAATGTGTAGGGTGTGTGGGCAGTGTATGTGTGTGGCAATGTTAGTATGGGGGGCTGTGTATGGGGGTCTGTGTGTATATGGGTGGGCAGTGTATGTGTGTGTGTGAGGCAATGTGTGTATGGTGTGTATGGGGGCAGTGTGTGAATGTGTATGGTGTGTGTGTGTGGGGGCAGTGTGTTTATGGGGCTAGAGTTCACTCTCACCACTTCGACCACCAGGAATCCATGGGGGTTACAGTGTTGAGAGTGAACTCTAGCCCGTACCTCCAGGGCTAGAGTTGACTCTCGCAAGAGCAGTAACGTTGCCATGGTAA